ATATACAAGGTGGCCATTCAGTCCTTGCTGCTTCACAAAGCAGGGTTTCAGAAGAGGAATTACCTTTACCGTAGTCCTCTTGTAGCCAATGCAGACATGTTTTTCCTACACACACACACACACACACACACACACACACACTCCTACCTATGATAAAGGTGTGAGTAGTACTAATGAATACAAGTGTAATAAAAGTCAGGTGCACGTCTTTATTCCAGCACTCGGGAAGCAGAGGCAGGTGCATCTCTGAGTTGAGGCCAGCCTGAGAAACCTGTCTCCAAAATCCAAAAAAAGGAAAGAAAGAGGGAAGGTTAAGAGAAAGGAGGCAAAGAAGGGAAGGGGGGAGGGAGACAGGGAGGGAGGGAGCGAGATATTATTTTAAAGCTTGCAAACTGCTTGTTTTTGGATTTCCATGTAGTGTTTTCAGACTGGTAGCTAGTACCTAGCCCTGCATTAGGTGGGGTTGGCAGAGAGGGCCTGCCTCTGCACAGTAGAGACTGCGAGATGGGGTGAAGAGGAACTCACAGCTGACAAGAGCTTCCGTGCTAAATCGGTTACTGAGGAAGCTCATGCCATTTCCTAGTTAGCTGGCACACCACTCTTTGCCCTGATGGTGGCTCCCTAGACAAACGATAACACCTTAAACTTCTCATGGATTTGCCTAGTTGGCCCTGAGCTTCTGTCAAGTCTTCCCGCCTCAACAGCTCGTGCTGTGAATTACGGCTGATTGTCTTCCTCCTCTCCCAGCCCCACCCCCCCGCCCCCCCACCCCCCCACCCCTGCCAAGCTGCATGGATGTCCGTTGTATGCATTATTCCAGTGTGCTGGCATTAGACAGACTGAGACCCCGGCGGTGGCTTTCACAGATCACAGAAGGCTGGCCACAGATGTGGGGTTTGTGTGGTCTGCTTATCTGGGTCTCCAATCTGTTCCTTCCCAGTTGCTTAGCAGCATGCTAGTGAGTAGGATCCACACACTCCTAGAAGGCTAGTGATTTCTCAAGGAAGAGTCCTTAAAACACTGAGATTGAGGATGAGGTCCAGGCACTTTCCACATTTGCAATGAGACTCTCCCCATCCCCTCCCAGGGTGTGAAATACAAACTAGCAGCCTCTTGCTACCACAAAAGAGGCTAAAGATGAAGCAGACAGAACAGGATTGAGTCAGAAAAGCTGAGCTGCTCCCCAAGGATCCTCCGGGTCACGCCAGGGTGGTACTGATGAGGCACCCAGACTCAGGAGCAAGCTACAGTGTTCTTGGCTTCTGGTGACAGCCACTGTTAACATGTGAGCCAATGTAATAAGCCTCTTGCTGCATTTTATTACATATGTTTAATGTGCATTAGTTTTGCTATGGAAGTTTCAGGTTCCCTGAAATTGGGAGTTACAGACAGTTGTGAGTTGCCATATGGGTGCTCAGAGTTGAACCCAGGTCCTCTGGAAGAGCATTCAGTACTCTTAACTGCTGAGCCATCTCTCCAGTCCCTTTACTGTATTTTAAAAAGTTGAGCCAGAATTATATTGACTTTACAACTCTGGATCAAACTCGGTCTGATGCTCTGTTCCTACTTTTGGTAAATGCCCGCGTGCATTCTCTGTCTCTGTCTCTCTCTCTCTCTCTCTCCCCTCCCCTCTCCTCCCTCCTGAGGAATAATTCCCCATAATCCAATTAAGATGGAATGTCTTTTACTTGTAACAAAAGGCATCCTGTTACAATCCTTCCAGGTTCTCCTAGTCTTGGCAGGCAGGCACAGCAGCCTGGGACTCTGCTTGGCTTGAGCTATCCATATTCCCCTCTTCCAACAATGTACCTTAGCATCAAGCTGCAGATATACCCCACTTCAAACAATGAAGCAAGTTGTTCCTTAGCAACCCCTTAGTGACTCCTCTTTTATGGTCAGTTTCTATTCAAACATGTCCTGGGATGTATCTGGAAACTAGAGGCTGAGCACCCTACATACCCTATTTACCTTGCTGTGTCTATGTCTAGGTTAGGCATGCATATTATTAACACCAGATGCATCATGGGTATTTGGGCAGTGAAGAGTCTTAAATAATCCAAGTCTTGTCACTGAAAACAGAACCATGCACCTCATGTCCCTTAGTAACCATTTCCTCCTGCCTGTAAAAGGAGTCCTGAGCAGTAACCAGGGGCCTGCGAGGACCGGAGGAACCTGCAGCAAAGCAGTATGTCTGCTGTGCACTGTCACTTTGCTTCTGGATAAAGTTCCTCGTGGCTTTGCAACTTGGAGACGCTTCAGCTCTTTGAACAAGACACCAAGGACCTGGAAGCATGCAGTTGAGACGGTGACTTGAAGCAACACAGGCGACTGCTGTCCTCCTTATGTGGCTGATACCCCATCTCTCCGGCACCCACGGGTGAGTGTTTTGCAGAGAGCAGTAGTGGGGCTCCTCTGACCGGCATCAGATGTCTCAAATCGTATTCCCGACTGCCGCTGATCATGCTTACTTTCAATGCTAGGGATTGAACCCAAGGCCCCTTGCATGCTAGGCAAAGCTCTGCTCACATTTATAATACCCATATAGCCTGTACCCCCAGGCCGCCTAGGTACAGGAGCTTTGTGCTTTACTGGCCTCTCCAGATACCAACATGAGTCCTAAAGGTGATGCTGTCCAGAGGACGGTGTACTCCAACAGACAATGCATGAAAAACTCAACACACCTTTCCCTATTTATTAGATTCCAGATACATGGGACCGGATGGGAGAACCCCAGGGCATGTGATTTACACGGGGGCTGTGGGAGAGCACGTACAAGAATTACATACAGGAAGGTGAGGCGGCACGAAGTACTGCCGGTTAAAAAATATATACATCTTAAGCCATTCCAGCCACGATATCGTTATCAGAAAATAAAGCAATCTCTCCACATAGTGCTTCTCTTTGGTGCTGTTCCATGGGCTTGGACTCTGGGCCCTCCAGTCTCCTCGTCACAAGTCTGTCATCCCCTCCTGCCTCCTGACCCATGGGCAGTGGAGTCTGGAGGTAAGGACCAGGCAGATAGCACAGGCTCTGCCCCTGCTGATGCCATTTGAGAGCCCCTCGGTCCCCAAGTTGTGTCCCTGGAAAACCATCAGTTTGTGTGTGCCAAAACTGGGAGGCATGACAAGACCATCCAGGCTCTTCAAGGAGGATAGGGGGCAAAGCAATGAAATAAACCCCAGCCAGCACCTCCTCCACGATCGGCTTGGTTTGAAACAACCTGTATCTGAGCATACAACTGCAAAGGGTGGTGATCTCTGCAATCATCCCAGAAATGGACATAGCAGGGAGCCTGGGGGCTTGCTCCGATGAGAAGAGCTGGGTGATGGAGGGACAGCTCTCTTCCCTGCCGAGTGTCTTGGCCACACAAATGTCTCTCATCTCGCTCATGTCGGAACAAGTTGGCTCTACCCTCTGACCCCAGGAGCCCAGGTGGCCCAGCTTTCCCACAGAGCACTCCATTGTCACTAGTACATTCTCTTTGCTTGTAGAAGCAGTTTCTATCTAGAGACAGTAGGTCAGCAGCCCCCCTCGGGTGAAAAGGGCTCCATGGCGGCGTGGTAGTTGCTTTAGTCGACCACAGAGACAAAGATCTCCAAGTTAAGCCCCTAGGGGTCAACCCAGTTCAATACAAAAGTGACATCTACCTTGGGTCAGGACAAGGAGAGCTCAGGCACAGGCTGACACCCACCCATCCAGTGGCTCTGAGATGCAATTCCTTGTAGGCAAAGGAATAGGGAGAGGAAGGCTCTCCTTAAAAAATTATTAACTATAGGAAGTGGCCAGTCTCTAATCTGGAGTTCCTGCAGCTCCAAGAGATGTCACCAAGGAGGCAGAGCCAGTAGCAGTGGCAGGTACCAGAAAGTCTGAAAGAGGGGGTCCAGGGAGGGATCAGAACAGATGTGGCCTGGAGGATTTCCCAGAAAAGTGGCCCAACAGTGTTGGCATGTCCATTTGACAGAATGAACATCTTCACCTCCAGGACATTCTGTCAACCCATCAACACCATTGAGAGCTCAGAACTATCCCTTGAGTGGGTGAGAAAAACTGTCCATGTGCCCAGGCCTGAGGGGTTTAAGACAAAGCCTCTCAGGAAGAGCGGGATGGGTTGGTGGACCACCCTAGACAACAACCAGACTGCCAGGTCTTGCCCAGCGTTGACCCAGGAGGGCTACATCCAACAACCTCGGTGCAAATGTCAAGAGGCTGCCCTCCTGTGCCACAAAGCCTTTTATGAGGTAAGGAAAGAGCCAAGAGGGACCTTCAGAGCTTCTTTCTTTTCAAGGTGTCATGACACCTCCTCCCATCTCCTCCAGGGCCTCTCCCTATCCTACACCCCAACCAAGGCTGCTGAGCTTGAGTAAGAGTCCCCAAGCACCCTCTGATGAGACCAGGACCTGAACTTTCCACAGGTCTCTAGACTGGCCAGGCCCAAAAGGAGGAGGAGGCAGCAGGAGCAGTGGAGGCAGCAGGAGCAGTGGGCACAGGACCCAGCTCTTTGCTAAGCCAGTGAGTTCCCGGGTACATGCCCTGACGTTACCTTGGCTGGCTGAGGGAGGGGCAGGAAGCAGGGAGGGGCTTCTTGGGATGTGTGGCTACTCGTGGGCTGGCAGAAGCACAACTGGACCCTGGCTATAGAGGAAAGAAAAAAGGGGGAGGGAGCCAGCTGGACTGAGGAGGTGCGGTCACAGAGCTCTAAGCACGCAGGGCCTTGGAGACACTACTACCCCAAGGGCCTGCCCTCTCTGACACCAACACCTCCAGAAGAACCCAATCCGAATCTTTTAGGTCCTGGACACTAAGCTCTGCCCATCCAGGTACATCCAAGTCCTGAATGGGGAGGGGTCCAGATGCGCTGCCTATGGTTGTGGGGAGGGGCTGCTTCCTCTGGTGGTCTCCAGTCCTAAGGGGAGTCAGCCCTGGCCCAAGCCTTAGCACTGCCCATGGAGAAGGAAAAAATACCAAAGAAAATGCGGGTGACAGATGAGCCCCCCGCCCCCGCCCTCCCATCCCCGTCTCCCCATCTGCTGCCCCCAGGAGTCTGCACATGGCCAGGAAGCAGGAAACCTCTTCCTCTGGGACAGCTCAGAGCCCCGATGCAGGTGTGGAAAGTCGAGGCTGGTGGCCGTGGAGGTCTCCACAAGGATCGTGTCCATCCATCTGTGAGCTGGGCCATCACACCTTGGCTTCCAGCATCTCCAGGAAGAGTTTGTGCATGGGCACCTTGCCCTGCAGTTTCACACTATAGAAATGCTGCACGGCTTTGGCCGCTGTCTGCCGCAGCAGGGGCAGTGTCAGGAGTAGCTTCCCTGTCCTCCGTGGCTCCTCGTGGCGCTGGCTCAGCTCGTAGTCCTGCAGCGCCTCATGCAGCAGGTCCTGCAGCTTCTGCACAGCCTCTAGGTCCTCAATGTACATGGAATCTGCAGACACAGGAGAGAGTCAGTGCCCGAACCGGTTGGCTGCCCCAAGGTAGAAGGCATGTCTGGAGTCAAGACAGACCAGCAGGCAGCATGTCTACTTTCTCAATGGCTGACTACTGAACGACAAGGGTCTTCACTGTTGGGTTGACCCGAGTCAGAGCCTGGTGGTGGCACTGGGCTCAGACCCCCAGAGACCCCACCAGGAGAGTACTGGAAGGGCCTGAATATGGGCAGACCTGCTGGATGACCTGGAGGGGAACATGGAACCTGACCAGATGAGTTAGAATCCTATGTCCCTCACTCGCAGGCCATATAAGACCTTGGGCAAGTTACTTAACTTCTCTGGCCCTCATTTTCCTAGCCATACCTACCTCATAGGGCTGAGAGGGCTATGCAGGCTAAGGACACAGAACAATCAAGTGCCTGTGTCACAGGAGCCTCACCACCATCGCTAGTGGCACCATCATGTCTTCATGATGTACTAAGCCATGGGTACCACCCGTCTGCACTACAGCCAACCTTACCACTCTGGCTGCAGAAAGGACATAAAGGGGCAGAAACCAATGTCTAGCTGCTTGGGGTGAGGAGAGTATAAGGGGCAGAGGGAGCCAGTGGGAACAGAGCTCAGCGATGGGTGTCTGCCCAACCTAACATGCACAAGGCCTTGGGTCTGATCCCCAGCACTGCAAACAGCAAGAGCACTGGCTTAAAATGCAGCTCATGAACTCAACGTATGAGACACGAGGCTGAAGCTGGGTCTGAGCAGAACAAAGAGAATCCCCTAGAGCCTGTCCTGTGAGGGTGGGGAGCTACCCAGCCACTTCCTGTTAATGTCTTGTATGGGCCTCCATGACCTGCATCCCCAAAGCTTGCTGTGTGCACACTGGGAGCTGAGCCAACCTTGTGGAGTCCTCAAAGGGGCAGCCAGGTCCAGAGCATGCTGGGTGGCCTGACACCAGATTGCCGAGGCAGCTGTCTGGTCCCTAGAATGCTCTGGACTCCCCTGGGTCTCCTTCCAGTCTGTACTCTCCAGAGTCCCTGAAGGGCTGGACCCCAGTCACCCCTGACCCTATCTCCCATCTTGTCACCCCCCCCCAAAGGAGCCACAATTGGCAGGTGCTTTCAACCAAAAATGAAATAAAATAACATTGCAGGATCAATTTCTTTGCAATCCATCAGCGAGTCTGTATCAATGGCATTGATAAACTGTTAATTACAAAATCAATGGCTATGAATTTTTTTCTCTTGTCAAAGAGCCCTAGAGATGACCGGGATGCGGGTGAGTGACAGCTGGCATACTCTCAAGGGGCCAGGCCAGCCTCTGATGAGCTCTGCTCTTCTGCCAGGTACCTGAGTTGCCCCATTCACTTAGTACAGGGGCCCTTGTACTGCTGCCAGGAGACCTTAGGGGTCCTGGGTTACTGTCCTGCCCTGAGGCTATGACCTGCAGAGCCCATGTCCACCAGCTCTTCCTTCCGGACCCACAAGCCACTAGCTCTTTGAAGAGTCTCCAGGGCAAGCAAGGACCACTGCCCTTGGTATACACCTGTAATTCCAATAGCTGGAAGGCTGAGGCAGGAGAACTGCCATGAGTCTAAGGCCAGCCCGGGATATACAGTCAGTCCCAGGCTAGCCTGGGCTACAAGTGAAACAGAGAGATGCCAATCACACCTGGTTTGCAAATTGCCTCGTGCAAGATATTACAGTGGAAAGAGTGTGCTGAGGGGTGAGGAGGGGCAGGGACGACACATGGAATTCCACACACTGTCTGTTTATAGAGACACACCACACCAAACCAAACCAAACCAAACCAAACAAAATAAAGTTAAAACAACCCGTATTAGGTCAGAGCCTCCCTAAGGCAGGGTTTGGGTTTAATGACTTACGGGGTGGGTGTTCTCACTGGAGGAAGCGTGAAGACAGGAGGCACAAAAAGAAGGCTAATATAATGCTAAGGCCAGAACCCACAGAGCTCTAAGGCAGACTGCTGGGCTATGTGAAGCCCCCAATGGCAGACAGTGCCTGGCTGGGGATCGATGATGTCACAAAAGGCACCAGAGGGTAAATCTGGGGACCTAGGAGCAACGAAGCCCATGTGTCTGAGGACAGGAGTGCTAAAGAGTAACACTGGGACTGAGCCATCAAGTGTCCCTGTCTATGCTTCAAAGCCACAGAGTGGCCAATGGAGCCAGTTTGCCAGTCACTTGAGGAGCTCCTAGGATGTGAAACTTTCAGGGAAAAGCCTGGCATGTGTTTTTGTCTTCACCTGGGAGGCAGCTTTCCCTCATCCATGTGCTGGGAACACTGTTTCATCTGACATTATAATAGCAGTGACAACAGTCAATATTTGCCGAGCTTTCCTCAAGGCCAGGCACTGGGCTGCATTATCCTCAGCTGATCTTTAATACTCACAGGTGCTTGAAGGAAGCTCCCAGAACGCCTCCTACTCAAGGACAGAGACAACCAAGGTCATGCTGTCCGTGTCAGGGATAGTGTGTGTGTGCTCGTGCGTACATACATGCGTGTGTGCATGTCCTCTCCAAGAGCAGTTAATGCTCTTAATTTCTAAGATATCTCTTCAGTTCCAGAGACAGACTTTGAACTCAGGTCCATCTGGCCCGGGCAAAGCAAGGAGGTCTGTCACATACTGCTCTGCAGCAGGGTTACCAATATGTGTGCACATTTCTAGCACTATGGTCACCTAGACCCTGTGTTTCTCCCCCTGCCTAGCACCCAGCAGACTACCTCCAGTAGGACCCATTGCCCAGTGCCTCGCCCCAGATAATCTAGTTAAACCATCCACATGGCAGTCAGCTGTACCACACGCAGATGATTTGATGGGAGGGTAGCATACGCTTGGGTTATCTGAGAATTAGATGACTGTGGCATGCATATGAAGACAGGGTCTCACTATGTAGTCCTGGCTAGCCTGGAACTCAGGCTGGCTTTAAACTCAGAGATCCTCCCGCTCAGTCTTCCTAGTGCTAGGCCTACAGCACCACACCTGGACAAACCCTGACATCTTGAAACAGTGTGACTCTGGACAAATTTCCGACTTTCCCAGTCTCAATTTCCACGTCTATAAAACGGGATTATAATAAGAATTATGTTCATAATGTCATAGCCAATTTAGCAAGCTGAGCACTTGATTTTCTTCATCTATTTTGGTCCCACAGGCACTTAAGAAATAACTACTCTGAAACTTAATATCAATTACACTTGTTTAACCAATGGCTTAGGCTTCTTACTGGCTAACTTGCTCTTTAATTATTAACCCATTGTTACTAATCTGTGTATCTCCACATATCCTTGCCTTAATTCCTACGTGGCTACGTGGCATCTGTCTGTCTCGAGGCCCCTCCTCTTCTTTATAAGGGATCATGTCCGCACACCAAAGCCACACACTAAGGCCATTACCTCAAGTCTATTGGTGGAACAAGATACCACTACAAATTATGTATAAACACATTGTGGAGTGAGCGCTTTAAGGTTGCCTGGGCTCAGAGTGAGAACAGCTTGCTCAAGTGGTAGATGCAGACACAGCCCTTAGCAACGGATTCAGAATCGACATCCTTCGGTTTCTGCAAGTAAAAGGCCTAGGAAATATAAAACCAGCACTGGCCTCCACAACTCCAGGCCACCCTTGCAGTGTGTGGTGGTGTACGTGAGGAATGTCCCCACAGCCTCGTGCATTTGAACACTCGTTCCCCAGCTGGTGGCGTATTGGGGAAGTGATGGAACCTTCAGGAAGTGGAGCCTTGCTGGAGGTCCAGCTTTGAGGTTTACAGCCTCATTCCACTTCCTGTTCACTTCCTGCATGTGTGGCTGAAAGGCCATCTCTCTGCTTCCTGCTGCTACACCACGCCTCCTCTCCCCACTCCCGTGATGGACTCTTCCCCTCTAGAACCCTAAGCCAAAAATAAACCCTTTCATCTGTACGCTGCTTTTTATCACAGGAAGAGAAAAGGAACTAGCGGGCAGCGTTTGCTGGTAACAGCAGTATCCATCACTCTGCACCCACCACAGCCAGCCCCGCCCACAGCCTGAGCTGTGCTTGCTAGGCTCCCGCAAACCCCTTGAAGGCTTTTGAGGGCCACACGCCACCCTTACCTGAGTTGGCCAGAGCCAGGGCCTTAAGCGTCACAAACTCCTCCTTCTCCACCTTGAGCTTCTTGTACCTGCGCACCAGCTGCAGGATGGCTCGGTAAAGCTCCAGCAGCCCTGCCAGGCGGGAGTGCTCCTCGTCCATGATGTAGTCCTCCGCGTACACCAGCTTGTCATCGTAGGGCAGCGAGCGGTACACAATGCCCAGGATGAGGATCTCCATCCAGGCACTCTGCAGCAGGCTCATTTGGTCCCCAAGCGACAGATTTGAGAAGCCTGCCAAAGGAGAACAGGACAAGGATCAGAAGTGGGCCTAGGGCCTTCCCTGGGACTTACTAGAGGACAGACTGGGGGTGGGGGTGGCTGTATCCTTGCACCTCCAGACCCTGGTGGGGGTGGAACCATGTGATGTTGCTGTCACCCCTTTGGTAAACGAGTCACACCAGAATTCATGGGAAAGACTTACATAATAAGCGCTGGGTCAATGTTGACAGTTATTATCACTATGCTTGTTAGTTTTAGATCTTTCCCAGTATCTGGGGAGGCATGCTGATTAATTAGATGCATTTGTAACTAAAGGAGCTGCTGAATTAATAGCAGGATTTGGGTGTGACAACATGGGGTCTCTAACACTCTGCTCACTCCCGGGAGGCTCTCTGCTTTAAAACAATACCAGATCCTAATGTAGTTTCCACCCAGGAAGGAGGATTCAGTTGTCCATGGCCTGGCCAGAAGCTCCTGTGACCAAAGGCAGAGAGAGGCCACTCCATAGACAGCCTGTCAGCCCATGTGTCCAGAGTGGCTGCCTAGACTGTCACTCTCTTAAGACTCAGCAAACATGCTGTGGAAGCTAGCACTTATGGTGGACACTACCCGCTCCCCCCAGTGAGGAGAAATGGGGGCTCTAGAACCATGACACTGCCTTGTCCAATGCGCTATGGGAGACTACCTGGGCTTGACTCTGACTGCCCAGTCAGCTGTGGGCTGACTTTGAGGAGGCCACGTGACTTCTGTAAACCTTGACCCCTCCAGCCTCGAGGTCCAGGAAATGGGCATGAGAGGAGAGGATGCCTCAGAGTGGCTGTGAGCTGAACGGGAAGACGGTTACAGAACACACGAGCTCTTACTAATGTTGAGGTGAAGGTCTGTGTCTGCCAGATGAGGATGGCATGCACTGTGTGTAGACTTGATTTAGGCAAAGTCAATTAACAGCCTGATTTATGGGACGGCAAGAGAGAAGAGTAAATTTGCTAATTTCAAACATCATAACCACTAAATAGGAGGCAGCAACTTCTCAGCGGGGGCTCATCCAGAACTGGGGAGAATGCCAGTACTTCGGAGGAGGATCTGGAGTTCAAGGCCAGCCTTGGCTACATGTGACTCTGTCTCAAAACAAATGAACAGAACAGGGCTGGGAACAGTGCAGTTGTGGGGCTTCTGCCTAGCTGTGCGTTCAACTCCCAGTACTGGGGGGAGGGAGATATTCCACAAAGCCATTCACACAACGTGCCATGTGCAGCTGAAATTAAGGCATTTGTTTCTGGGTAATCCTGCTAATGAATGAATCTGCTAACTTAGGACGAAGCCCTGCCTCCTCACTGCTTGTGATGTGGGGGTGTCTCGAGGATGAAAGGGCGTGAAGACCCCACACCACTTGCGGCACACAGTGAGCCATCACCCCAGTCATCTTTGCTTCTTTCCCTTTGGGCCTGCCCAGTTCCTGGATGGCCCATCTCTTAGGACGGGTGTGACGTCTTTCCTGTTATCCACCCAGGACAAGTGCCTTCCCTCTTGGGGGTACTCCTGAAATTGAATGCCAATTCCCTTGCCTGTATTTCCTAAGTCCTACCACTATGACCCCTGAACTTGTCCATACAAACGTGGATCACCATCTACTATGGGTGACCAATCACAGAGGAGGAGTGTACCCACCAACTAGGGGGAACTTTGGTGACTGTGCCTGGGGGGGGGGCATGAAGGGACGCAGGGGTTAAGTTGTGTGTCAGCTGCTGTCCACATTCCCAGTGCCACAAGAGGGTATGTGGCGGGCCTGTGGGGACCCAGGAAGCCGGAGGTAATAAAAGATAGATAGAAATGGACATCCAATTTCCCTTATCAGGTCCATGAGTAGGAGGCAGGCTTTGGTGACATTAATTAGCAGATACCAATCAGCCAGCATAGGAGGCTATGGGTGGGGAGAAGCGGGCTGCAAAGACAGGGGTAGTCTTGAGAGCAGAAGATTGGGGAGGGTGGAGGCGGAGGCGGCACGCAGGGGAGAATTAACAGACAAATGAGCTGGAAGGCAGTGCAAAGGGTGGGCATGAGGCACAGCCAGGCTCTGGGGACAAAAACAGGCTGCTAAGACTCATCCCTCAGGCATATCTCCTCAAGAATGTCACAAGCAGGCTCCTGTCCCTCTCGGTGCCCCATGGAGACCTATGGTTTACTCAGTCTCCGAGGCATACGGCTGACAAGATGTCACGGGTCTCTTAACTGTCACCAACCAACCTGGTGGCACACACACCACCACTTGGGGGGCAGAGGCAGGCGGAGTCCTGCGTTTGAGGCCAGTGAGGTCTACAGAGTGAGTTCCAGGACAGTCAGGGCTACACAGAGAAACCCTGTCTTGAAAAATGGGAGGGAGGGAGGGAGGGAGGGAGGGAGGGAGGAGGGAGGGAGGGAGGGAGGGAGGGAAGGAGGGAGGGAAGGCAGGATGGCAGGAAGGAAGAGCTTCAATGACTGGAAGGTTCTAGTGTTGCTAAAGGACAGCCCAGGGAGACCCTGCACAAGTGACCTGGAGGCTGTGTTCTAAAAGGACACTCACTGGGGATACAGACATGCTCCCAAGCGCTAAGCTCCAAGAGTTTGGAAACTGTAGACACCAGACACAGAGCCACTTGCCTTCCTGCCCACCCAGCCTGATAAGCAGTCACAGTAGGGGACGGACGGACAGACAGACAGACAGACAGACAGACAGACAGACAGACAGATGCCACAGCCTGACCCTTCGATGGTAGGAAAACAGCCTAGAACACTTGCTTAGAGTGTGTATCCCATGTAAGTGAGGTCATGTAAGGGACTGGCCTGTTCTGGGGGTTGAGGGTGGGAGGAGACAGCCACTGGAAAAGTCTTTGCTACAGTGGGAGGGAGCACTCAGAAGGCTGGGCCAGCTAGCTGGTATGCAGCTGAGCAGCAGGGGACACCCTCTGGGGAATGCCTTCTCTCCAACAGCTGGGAAGTCCTGGACAGAATTCTGAAAACCCCAGCCCACCTGCAGGGTCTGCTGTCACTATTAAACCATTTTAATGCTTTCTATATAATACCTGAGAAAACCACTTGAAGGTAAGTCAGGAGAGCCGTGGTTAGCTGCAGGAGAGGGCAGAGTGGCAGCAAGAAAGGGCGGTGTGAGGACACATTCAGAAAGTGTGCCGGGCAGAAAACTAGTGAAAGGCAATTTGTGACGCATGTAGTACTTACAATGAACACAACAGTTAATAACGGACCACCACAAAGGGAGAGCTATCTGTGAGGATGTGCAAACACGTGCTGGAAGACCAGATTCCAGACCCAACTGGAATCAGCCACTCTGCTGATTACTAGAGCTGACCTAGGCAAGGCCGCCTCGGACCTGTCTGTCTACACTCCTCTGTTAAAATGGGACTGAGGACACCATGTTAGGGGTGCTGAGGTTAAATGCGCGCGCACACACAGAACACTTTTTGGTCTGCTTAGCACATGGGAAATGCAAAAATATTTAACATCATTACATGAAATACACAGGAGGGTGATACAGTGTTAAAACATGAGCCCATGGGGGGAGGAAATACTTGGTGGCTGGCTGTACACCCGCAGGGAGTTCCCAGAAGGCTCTCACCTGGGGGCCTTGGAGGTTTTCAAATTCACTTCTTGTATTTGCACTCGAAGTAGATTCTTTGTTATTTAAAATCCAAGCAGCCTGTACACCCCTCTCCACCTTCAGGAAAACACCCTCCCCCCCCAACACATGCATGCAGGCACGCACTTGTATTTCCAATTGGGCTGGGCCCCCTTCAATTGATCTGGGATTTGGACCCCTGGCTAGCCCAGGGCCCCTGGCTCAAAAGTCTCCCCCGTATGCTCTACAGCTCCCGCAAAACTGTTATCTGCATCAGTGGATCTAATAACAGCTGGCCCCATCCCCCATGACACTATTCACTCCTAGAATTAAAAAAAAAAAAAAGCACGTAATTTGTGGCAAGTGGAGTTCATAATCTGCTAATTTATGATGGTCTCTGTCGACCTGGAGAGCCATTAGAGAGGTAATAAAGGGAGATGTAATTATAGGATCCGGGGCCACTTCAGACACAGCTGCTGTCACTCGGCAGCTCATCCTTCATCCAGCCAGACGGCCGTTCCCTGGGAGCAGTCTGTCCAAAGAGCCTTCCTGAAGAGGTCTCTGGGGATCCCCTGCACACAGCAGCCTGGGCTGGGCATTAGTGATGACTCCCCTGAAGGCTCTCCTGGCAAGGGTGGAGTCCCAGCTGCCTGGGGAAGGCAGACAAGTTGCCAATAAGGCAGGGTGACTGCAACTCACTGAAGTACTAGCAGCAGCCAGAGCAAAGGCTGCTGCCAGTTTATGCTCTAATCTCTGATCACCAGGAGGGAGAGTTTGCTGTCGTAGCTACTCTCAAGACAAGGGCTTGCCAGCTCCAGGAAGCCCAAAACTTGGGAACTGCAACTCAAGCCAAAACTCCATTTCCAGTTGTGCAACCTCAAAGTGACCCACACAGTAACCGAGCAGATTCTATTATGATCAACCCAGGATTCCAGCACTGGAGAGGCAGAGGCAGAAGGATCACTACAATTGTGAAGCTTGAGCACCTTGTCTCCAAAATAAGAAAGCAATAGTTCCTCTTCTCAGGTTTTAGTTATCCAAGGTCAACTGGCAGAAAATAGGAAGTAGGAAAATTCCAGAAATAAACTATTCTGAGTTTATCTGTGGCCTGGGCCACCCTGCTCTACTCTTATCTACACAAGTCAGGCTGTTTCCTGGTACATCCATGCTATACATGATGCCCACCCATTTGTCACATGAAGCCACCTCAGACGGATCAGCACAGATATGCTCAGGTGGTCTTCATTTTATGCACTAATGACACCAGATACAGAGGCAGCACCAGGACATGAGACACAGACAGACAAACTCTAGTGCAGTGAGATTATGAAAATGCAATCTATATGGGTTTCAGACATAGGAACCTATTGGAGGATCTGGGCTTCATGGGGTGAAGTCTTAGATCATCTCTGGTTAATGGACAGGCACCCCTTAAGTCTGTCTCAGTCACATATTGGGACTTACCCTGCAAGCACTAGTACCCTCTGTGTACCTGGTTGTAGACCACAGGCTGAAGACACTGTAAGGCAATCCCCTATCTAAAGACTGCAGCAAAACTCTGGTCCTGGGTAGGCTGAACTCCTCCCTTCCATGTGTCCCGGATCACAATCAAGAAGACTCAACGTGGTCTCAGTGTGGGCCCCCTAATCAATCTTCAAGTGCTTTATCGCTCTGTAAGCCTGTCTTCCAATGAGTTTTCCATCAGAAGTAGTCAACAGTTTAAAAAGATCTGACACAATGCTAGAGAGATGGTTTAGCAACCACTTGCTGCTCCTATAGAAAAAGGATTCAGGGTAGATTCCCAGTACCCACATGGAAGAGTAACTATCATTTGTAACTCCAGTTCCAGGAGATCTGACACCCTCTTCTGGCTTCCTTGGGCACTGTATGCACATGGTGCACAGGCCTATATGCAGGCAAAACACCTACTTATGCACATTTAAACACACACACACACACACACACACACACACACACACACACACACACACACACACACACCACCACCACCACCACCACCACCATCACCACCACCATCACCAACAACAACAACAAAAAACAGACACTTGGGTCTGGCCTTGCCCTTGGTGTGAGGTTTACAAACACTGGCTGGAGACCCTTATTAATTAAGGGATGATTCAACATGCAAATTTATGCAAAACAGGCAACTCGGTGTATAAGACAAACAAGCAAGCCCTTGCTTCACTCTGCTTTTTTATGGTTCTAGTTTCTTGAGTCAGGGTCTCTTTTGCTAGGTATCCTTGTTGGCCTAGAATTTGCTATGCACAACAAATTGGCCTAAACTGATGATGGCAAGCCCACTGCCTCTGTTTCCAGAGTGCTGAGATTACGGGCGTGAGCCATCACGTTCTTGTTTATAATCCACAGGAATTATTCTTTGGGGATGAAACACTGGCACAAAAGAGGCTTGTATCACTACTGGTAACCATGACAACCATGGCAGCCGTGGCAGTTTTGAGTGACATCCTCCCGGGGGTTCTACTGAGGGCTTCTGGGATTCCCGTTTTACAGATGAGAACACTGAAGCTCAGAGAAACCTTACACAAGGCCAATAAAGGCATATCTGGGTCAGGAGCCCTGCTGGTCTGGCTCCAAAGCCTCTGTCCCCAATAGCCACCCTGCTTGCCTGCCTCTCTTACTTGGCACAGATGTGACTGAATCTCCTGGACCTTCCTTTGCCCAGGTGTTATGGGGGTAAGGCTAACAGAAAGAAGATGTAGTGACTCAGGAGACCGCCAGGCGCCACTCCTGAGCCATCCTTCTGACACTGGACCTATCTGACCTGGAATAGGAGTCTAAGGGCTGGGCTGGGTTGGGGTGGCTGTGCCCAATTTGGCTTGGGGTCAGTGGAGCAATCCAGGCTGAGGTGTCTTAAGCATGGGGCTGACGCCACACCTGTGCTGAGGCAGCACAGGGCAGATTTAAAAACTACTGAGTGTGTAATCCCAGGAGACTGAGCTCCTTACAAAGGACGCACTAGCCAGGTGCCTGGCAAACCCACCCAAGGCTCAGAATGCCAAGGGACCACCTGAGAATCCTCTAGGCCTGCCAAAGGCTAGTGTGGGCAACAGTATCTCCCACCCATGTCCACGGGCTGGTGCCTGCCTGTGGGGCACATGAGTCTCTCTCACACACAGGAATGGAATCAGCTCGATCATGTGCTGTCACTCACAGGCTAGCACACCTCTGCTGTGTTGCCATGTGTGGCATGCTCATCTTTTAGGGCCACAGCTGACAAAACAAACACAAACAAAAAGCCAATCTGTAGTCAGAAAGATAAAGGAAGCCATGTGTCCCATTTCGCAGGTCAAGTGACAGGCTCGGGTCACATAGCTTCTGGGCCTAGAATCTGAGCCTGACCCAATTCCCAGGGCCCCACTCCTAATTCCTTCTCTCTGCCTGCAGCTCTTGTGAAAGAAGGGAGTTGCTCTTCACTATAATTCTGGGGAACTCTTCAGGGGAAGCCCACTATTTTGTCTTGTGGGTTCAAGGGACTTGTTCTTCAAATATTACCAACTGTCTACCCCTATTATAGGTCCCGATAAAATGAAAAAGTAGTTTCCAATGAGCCCCTCCCTGGCAGTACATAAAATTACTGAACCTTCCAAATACTACTTACTCCCCTCAATCCCATAGAAGGGAAAAGAGCCTTACGTGGGGTGGCAAAGGTCTTCTAGGCATCATTGGGCCGGGTACCAAACACCAAAGGCACAGCTACGGGACAGGACGAACCTAGACCACCTTCCCACTCTTGTTCCCACCCCCCCCCCCCACGACTCACCAGGGATGTGTTTGGCCCAGCCGATGATGACCACGAGCTCCCGATCTGCCAAGTCACAGAGAGTGGTCAGGGCCTTGATATCCCCCTCAGGCATACCAGGGGGGAGGCATGGCGTACAGCTTGTCTGGTTCAGCCACCAGCAGATAGGAGACGATCTTAGTCACTGCAATGACCGAGGAGAGAACACACAGTAAATGCCTGGGAAGAGGGGAAGAGTCAGGGTGAGGTCCTGGGGGTCAAATGTGGCTGGCGTCTGTCTGTCCCAACATCACAAAGCTGCTGAGATGTCCCCTGCATCGGAGAGCTGCTCACAGGACTCCAGTTCTAGGACGGTGGCCATGGACACAAGGCCTGGGTTCTGTGCCATTCCATATAGACTGATGGGACTTCTGATGAAGCCAGGCAGTACCAGGCACTGTTGGCTGTCTTTAGATCCACACTGCCCACCACCCAGTGGAGAGAAGACAGAACCGCCCCAGGAGGATGCCAGGTATTCCAGGCTGAGGAGGGCAGGGTGGGGGGGTGGGGGGTGCTGCCTGGTACACACTTGGCTTTTTAGCAGGTGGGGAAATCTGTAAGCTCAGGTAGGGGCCATTTTCTGAGTCCAGCCGTCGCTTGTACTTCTGGCGGCCTCCACGCACTCGGTCAAGGCGCACACCTGTCAGAGAAGGAAATCATTGGTATCGAGAGCTGTTCCAAATCTCTAGGGAAGGAGACACTGACTTCGGAACTGCAGCGCTGGCTAAGAGTGGCCATCCAGCCTCATGCCAGGAGGTGAGACGTCTGTCATCTGAAGTAGCAGCCCGTCCCACTGGATAGTCTGGCCCTGCCTGTCTCTCCAGGTGCAGCATCCTCCTAATATCACCCTGAGAATTCTAGCCTCTGGGCCTTCATCTCTAAGAGAGATTCCCAACAATGCCCTTTGCCAAGAGTCCCTGTCTTGGTTCTGCTGTTTCCAGGGAGAGCTGAGTTCATGAAGTTGGGAAAGAGAGGCTAGGGATGTAGGTCATGCCTAGTGTACAGTGCATGCCTAGGATACACAAAACCCTGGCTGGGTTCGATCCCCAACACTTCAATTAAAAAAAAAAAACGGGTATAGTGGCATGTACCTATAATTCCAGCAACCCACTTTAGACGGGAAGATAAGAATGGTCAGCAACACAGAAATTACAGCCAGCCTGTCTCAAGAGTAAAAGGGCACATGAAGACAGTCCATGGAGAAAGAAAGCTGGGCTTAAGTCCTTCTACAGTCCAGTTCCTGTTCTTTCCCCTAAAGGTGAGAGTACCCCACCTCGAGGCCCGCCCTGCCCTTCAGGAAGACTTGCAGATCTGAGTGCGGAACAAATGAGCTTTTGTCAGCAGTCTTAAGCTGCTCCCTCAACTCAGTCCAGCCCAGCCTGCAGAAGAGAAAGCCAAGATAGAAGGGTGATTTACATCCCATTCATGCCCCGGGCTACTTCTCTGATAGCATATACAAGTAGTTATATACTAACAGTCCAAGAGAAAAGAGGAAGCTGCGTAGAGAATGAGAGCAATTGAAAGTGAAATGATTGAGGGTGGAACAATGTCTTTGGGGCTAAGGAGTTGGGAAGACACCCGCACACCCACACCCAGTTTCAATAAAAGGCTGCAGCCCACATCCTGGGGCAAAGGGGAGGGGGTAAACGGAGGTGCTGGAGCCAGCCAGGCAGGAGCCAAGGCCAACAAGAGGGAACTGTTTCTTATGGAGCCAGTTACCTCTCAGTCACACCCGACCCGTGATGACCTCCAAAACTGGCCTTGAACTTTGGACTCCAGCTTCAGCTTTCCAAGGTAGATATTACATGCCTGGGCCGCCGCCGCCGCGGTTTCCACAGTGCTGGGGATGGACTGCAGGTACCCTCTGTACCATACCAGGCAAGCACTGGACAACACACCTACATGCTCAGTTCATCAACAGTCCTGCAATCTCACGCCGGAACTTCCGTAACAGGTGCTGCACAAGGCTGTAGTGAACGCTACATTGGCAAGGGGGACTCAGCGTCTCTCCCCCGCCTTCTGCTTAACGGCAATCCCCATTTGGGGGGTCATCTTGTTGGGGTCCTGTGCTGCACTCCCACAGGTCGGGGCTCTTTATCGCCCTCAGAGGTGAGACGATGAGACACAGGCCCATCCAACAGGAAGGAAGAAGGATACAGAACATGTGGGGAGCCCCACGACACAACACCCTGGCTACACATTCCATGTTCCTGAGCACCCTGGGACCTGGTCCTTCCTAAGGCTGGCCCGTGGGCCACTTGAGAGGCTGTCGGCAACCCCCTAGTTTCAATGGTCACATGGTTGCAACAGAGCATGTCTGTGCCTACTTCTCTAGGAGCAAAGCCTGAGCAGAGGGCATGCATGCAGGAAACTGTGGCGTGAGAGGGAAGGAAGGACCGGTCTGGATCGCTGCCCGCCCTGTCAGCTCAATCGGCAGGCACTCCTCAGACACTGGAGGCCTGGTCTGGGTGATTTACTCCCAGCCACAAGCAGAATGTTGCAATGATGCCTCACTGGTGGCTGAGCCAGCTGGTAGCCAAAGCTCTGGGACGGAAGTGAGGTCACAGGTTGTGACCAGCGTACATAGGACGGATAGTGTTCACAGAAGTGAGAGAGGTGGTCTTCTCCAAGTGTGGGCCGCAGACCAGTAGCATCACCATCACCTGGGGCTTGTTAGGAGAGCGAATTTCTCAGGCCCCAGGCAGAAGGTACAAATAAGCCTCCCTCTCCCTCTATTCTCACCCCCTCCACCCCCCACTCCAGACAGTCTCACGTCTGGCCTCCAAATTGCTGAGTAGCCAAGGAAGTTCCTGAACGTCTGATTCTCCTGCCTCTCTTTGCCCAGTGCTGGAGATTATAGGCATGTGGCACCATGAGCAGTTTATGCAATACTGGGGTTTGAACCCAGGGCTTTGTGAATGCCAAACAAGAGCTCTACTAACCAAGCAAACTCCCAGCCCCAAAATAAACATCTTACCAAGATGAGCTATGAGATGCAGAGCCTGTGGGCACTGCCTTGGAAGTCCTCTGTTGGACTGCTCTAGATTCCACCTCCATCATCCTGGTCCTTAGGGAACACAGGAAAACAGCTCAACCCCCCTTCACCCAGCACAGACCTAACCCTATAGGACTGTAGCTCACATGTATCCCTCATTCCTGAAATCCCCTCTAACAGAGGCAGAGACATAACTAGACAGGAAACCCCAGCTTACTGTTTTCCCACCTGGACTAAGCTCAGGCTACCCCTTGAGATGCCAATACAACCTAGAGTGGAACCCTACTGCATTCACGGAGGACAGTGATACCCTCTCATTCCTGAGTCCAAAAGGGAGGCGTGTCCCACTTCCCCCTTCTTTTCTCCAGAAGCCACTCCAAGGGAGTCTCCTTTTTCCCTGGCCCACCTAACCCTATGGTGGCTGTCAGCAAGAGAGAGATCTTTGAAACAGAAAATATAAAAAAGGCAGTTGACACCTCTGCTGTTCCTTCTAGAATGTTCTCTTAACTTGACTAGACCTTGGTGGGGGTTCAAAAAAGACCTGATGAATAAGAACACTACCCCACAACACACACCAGGTGTTTCTTCACAGCACCAGGGCCTCCCCTGCTGGCTAAGTGTCCCTTAAGGTCAGGGGCTGCTTGTGGCCCACTTCCGGTTCTGGCATGGAGCCTGGTAGCCAGCAGGTGCTTAGGAAAACACTTCCTGGTAAGTCACATCAACAGTGGTTAACAGCATGGCTCGCAGAAGACTTTCTATATATATATTACACCGTTTAACCCACAGCATGTGGACTGGCAGCTATTACCTCATTTAACAAATAAGGAAAACAGGTTGGGGGCGGGGCTGGCTAGTTTGCCCGGTCAGAGTTGGTACCCAAGCTCCTTTGCCATTCCAAGGACACATCACAGTGCTCAACCTCCTTTGCATTTCCACTCCAGTTTTCTTCACAGCCAGGCAGCCAGTGACTCCAAAGGGAATCAACTGTCACTAATTTAGAACTGCACACCAAGACCGGTGCCAAACAGGTCTGTTCTCATTGTTTCTAAACTCTTGTCCAAATCCACACCTATGAAGCCTATGACCTGTGGTCCAAGGAACCCAGCGGTCATGCTCATGTTGATCTAGTTCCTGACACTTGGAGGAGATGATTCAATGCTTCAGTGTCATCCTTAGGCTTGAGAGGAGGCAACAGTCATGATCATACCCACTCTGCCAGGATCCAGGCTTTCCAGAAGTCTTAATGACCTTGAGGTGGGGGTGTTACAAAGCAGTTCCAAAGGCCAGGAGTTGCACTACGTGCCGTTTGCAAAGCCACCACAGACTTACTCCCATCATGCCTCTGGCTCCTCGGGGCGGTGGGCTCTATACTCCCTACAGCTACGCACCACACTGGTCAATATTTGCTAATGATCATTCGGAGTGGAGGGCATGAGCCTGTCCTTCCCTTCTGTTGAGCACAAGTTGTGCACAGAGTCAGTGCCAACCTCCAAATCCAATGACCTTGCCCTACATGCCAACACTGCTCTAGGAAGTTACTTTTCTGGACCCTCCCATGAAGCCTTCCTGAATCAGGGCTTTTCCTGAGACCTGCCACGGCAGCCTAGACTTCTCTGCATTCCCTTTGTCCACTCCCATTACAGGACCACCACTCCATGTGCAGCTGCCTCCTGCTGAGTGTGCCCAGACAAGGCCCGGAACTCCGCTGTGGTGGTCAAATGGTAGCTGACATGTTCGGCTCAGAGAGCTCCTCTCATGACTTCCCTGTGTCCCATGTGTCCAAGGCAGGCCCTCCCTCATGAAGTTCCTCCCGCTAATTCCTATTTCCTCACAACTTTCAAAGATCTATCCCAGTCAGCAACACTGATTTTCCCCAGGCCAACCCTTCAGGCATCTGAACTTTCCTGAACACCCTTCCTCCAAGGCCAAGCAGTCTTTACCTTCTGCATTTTAATGCCATCTCTCCCTGCCTTTTCTGCCTTTGGTTTTACTGCTCCAGTCTTCTCCGGACTGAGAACTGTCAGTACCTCAAGGCCAAAGACAGTAGGAACCTGAAAGCCCCTGCACACTGCAGACAGTAGTCAACCTTACCTTATGGTAGTCTTACCTCCCATTGAAGAGACCAGACCTCATCCAGCCCCGCTTTAGGAGTCATGACAGGCTGCAGAATAGACCCCGCAAGATGTAGGCCTCTGACTCGGCACATGTTGCTGAGTTTGCGGCCGTCTGGCCCTGACGGACCTGCCCTAGGCACTAGGAGGTCAGGTACCCTCCATGTGGCAAGGAACCAATCAGAAGTTAGCTGGCGGGCTCTGGATGTGCTTTAAGGCACTGGACATGCTTTACGGTAACAATGACATAACAGTGGCGTGCAGAGCATAGTAACCACCCTGGGAGAAACTATAGGCCATAGCAACCAGTTGACCAATCAACTCAGGACAGGTTGTCCAAGCCCAGAAGTGCACCAATCCTGAGACCGTTGGGTACCCCTAGACACTCCCCTTGCTCTACCCAATAAATTCCCTGTGTTGCGGGTCCTCCCCTCCCCCGGGCCCTTCATTCACCAACCACTGTGTTGGACAGACAGTTAACTTGTTAAACAATAAAAGACTCCGTTTTTGCATCAGAATGGGCCTCTTGGTGAT